GTTCTCAGGTCCACCCTGACCCGGGGTGGTAGCACCTGTTAGGGTTCCGGCTATGGGCAAATAGTGAACCCCCGAACTAGGGACAAAACACTATGAAAGTATAAAAAATACATTTTTGATATAAGGAAAATTGCCTGGAGTCCATTATTGGAAAAGGAAGAGAAAATTTACCAGTACTACATTTTTTAAAAAAATATTAGAGAGCCCTCACTCTCAAATTAAATTTTGACAGTAAATGACCATGAGAAGTTCATATGCCGTCAACAAACCAAACCATGATTTCGGCTTCTTTTTAATTGTTCCCTGATCACTTTTGAACTCTTTCGTAATTTTCAAACCTGTCTTCCCGTCATGCACTATTACTGAAATATTTTCTTTGTCTTTTCAGATTATACCTTTCTTACAAAGCATGAAAATCTTTATACATATGAAATTGAAATATATATATATATATATAGTTGTGTGGCCGAGTAGTTACAACGTTCGCTTTCTGATCACGAGACCAAGGTTCGAATCCCACCATGGACAATTGGTCAATGAATTGACCTTCTGATGTTATCGGCCTGGAGGAGAAACACAGAGCGCGGGAACTTTGGAAAGTGACTGACACATTTTTACGAAGTTACTTGAAAATCGAAAGCTAAAAACGAACAAATAAATAAGAAATTAAATAAAAAAAATTAATAAGGAAAATAAATTAATCCAAATAAATAATTAAAAAAATTAATAATAAACAAATTAACAAACAATAAATGCACACATAAACACAAGTAATAATAACAATTAGCAACAAATTAGAAAGCAACCAATAATAAAGTTAATGAACAACACTATAAAATAACTCCAAAATTGCATCGGGATCCACAATTATTTCCACTCAATAGCCACTAGAATAGACTGAGACATAACTGTTACCGTCCAACCAACAACCGTTATATATATATATATATATATATATATATATATAATTAATAAAATAAATGCGCGTTATTACGTTTTCTCAAATAACGTTTAAAGAAATACAAATATGACGAATTATAAAATAGAATCCATTAATTCTTTTGAAATTGCTTTGTTTACGTTTCGGATATGAAACTGCACAGATATGCGCTTCGAGAAAAATTTGAACGAATGAGTGTGCTTTAAAGGCAAAATAGAACCTTGTTATATATATATATATATATATATATATATATATATATATATATATATATATATATATTATCGCTGAGAAATCAGTTATATATGGAGAGAAAGATAAATGTATGCGTGTGTGGGCACGTGCGTGTATATGTGTGTACGCGTGCGCGCGTGTATACGTTGAACTTATTTTATTTGAGATTTATGCAAGTCTTGCGTACCTCACATCTATTTGGAAAATCGCTTGATTTCGAGCGAATGAAGCCTGTAGGTCTTCGAGGGGACCTTTCTTCTTCAAATCTTATGGACTGGCGCCAAAGAATCGCATATAAATAACTTTACCAAATACCAGAAGCCACATCACTTGAGGACTACCATCAGCAGCAACAACTAACGTGGTTATCACATGTGACTAGTTGAATAAATAATGATATAAGCAAGATACTGGTGTTTCGCAATACGTCAAACAATAGGTTAGGAAGGAAACTCCTGTCTATAGTTTAAAAGAACGTTAATAGATCATAGACACGAGAAACAATTTTTTTAATCATTTCATCCCTAGCAGGAATGCCACTAGTACGCAAAGGTTTAACCAGAGTGAAAGTGTGAGAAAAGACTGAGGTGGAATTGAGGAAAGGATAAAAGATGAACGGGGTTCAAGATGACAGAAGATGGCGATTGACGTTGCATTCACATGAAGATTGTTTTTTTTAGGAAAGCAAGTAAACTGGAGTGCCACATGCGAGAAGTGCGAGAAAAGAAGCTGCTGGAGTAGAAGTGGCGGTTGCATTTAACTATTTCAACAGTAAAAGGGTAGGACCTAGATGACAATCTATTAGCGCGCTTAAATTCTTGTCGTCTGGGCACCAGGGTAAAAAAGCTCGTGAGAGTAGTTGACATAAAAAATATTTTCCTGAAAACATTCTTTTAAGAAAAAGATTTTATGAATTTCAGCCTAAAGATAACACCGGCTGCTCGGTCACTAAATGCTGAATGTTTCTTTATAAGGAAATAGTTAATATCACCATTACTATGCTTTAATGGATACTAAACCAACGACTTTGAATCACAGAACGTGATAAAACTGCTATTTGGGCACTGCAAGAAGATCTATTTAAATTACCTAATATTTCCTGCCATCGACAAAGTGGTAGTAATATTGCATTAATATTATTTACACTATTCACATTGTTTGGAATGTTGTCCTCATCCTTGTTACCATATTCACGACGTTTCGGCCGTTGTACGCTCCGGCCTTCTTCAGGTGATTGGAATTTTGAACTATACCCTTTATTTCGTCCACCTGAGTAGATTGTTCTAGTTCCACAATGGCCTAGCGGATAAAAGCGTTGTTTGAATCCAGTGACTTGACCCGAAGAGTTGTGAGTTCAATACGTGGCTACTGCTGAGGTGAAAAATAACTTGAAAGTTGAGTTAAAGTGTGATAACTGATACTGAGATATCCGGAAGAGGCATGGCACGTGGAACTCGAAAAATCTACCCCGGTGAACGAAATAAAGAGTTCAGTTCGAAATTCCAATCATCTGAAGACTAAACGTCGTGAATATGGCAACAAAGATGAAGAAAACAGTCTGAACAATGTAAATAATTCAAATTATTACAATATCTCAGTATCTGTCTATATTGAACTCACAACTTGATCCACTGTGCTATTAAGGACACATGGCACAGTGGATAAAGGCGTTGGTTAGATCCAGTGACAGGACCCAAAGAGTTGTGAGTTCAAGACCTGGTTAAGGCAGGGGAGAACTTGGAGAGGTGAATTAACAAGGGATAACTTATAACTGAAATCCATTAGACATGGCACGTGGAACTAGAACAGTCTAACCTAGTGGACAAAATAATGGGTTCAGTTCGAAATTCCAATCGCCTGAAGAAGGCCGAAGCGTATAACGACCAAAACGTCGTGAATATGGCAACAAAGATGAGGACAACAGGCCGAACAATGTAAATAATTTAAATAATTACAATATCTTATCTCTGAAATATAGATGGGAATTAATATTATAATATCTTGTAGAATAGGCGACAGCAAAAGACATCAATATCTTCCGAATTTGCTTTAGTCCAGAAGAAAAGCGCCTAAATTTGTAACGACATAGCAGTTTTCTAAAGAAAATATATATATCACCAATATATAAGGTAACCTAGAATTGACCACTGATACGCAAATGAATACAACACGTACCGGAAAGCGGTGTGGTTGTGGGGGGCATTGTTCTTGGTAGCACGTAGCATTGCGCACACACATCAGTCACAGCTCGAGCGGCGACGAGAGGTATTATGGTGGTGTCGAAAGCAGCTCGTTCGGGGTTGTCTGCTTTATGACTTTAAGCTGGGCTTGTCCACAGCCGCATCAGGTCACCGAATACGTCAAGTCTTTGGGCATAATGCTGTGTGTGAACGCACCACCAGGCCTTGTTTCTAGAAGTTCCGGTCGGGAGATTTATCCCTTTTTGATGAAACCTCTGCTGAGTTTGCTAATCGCTACCAGGTTTTTATGAAACCCTCAGGCTTCACCTGCACTGCACGGGGAAGAAGGCAGACAAGTTGAGCAAGTGGGTACACGATACACTGTCGAACGCCAACAAACAACAAATGACAGCCTGTTTCTCGTTGATTTCTCGTCACTCCAATGTACCCATTCCTAATCGAGTGCTCACCAGATGTGGGTCCTGTATGGCATTCCCACGCGTACTTGTACAATTCCTTTTATGTGTCGTAAATATATCAGATGAGAAACTTCATCATCGTCTTAATGTTCATTTGTAATGAATCAATTCCTTTCAGATATCGTAAATAAATCAAGTGAGAAGACGCATCACAGTCTTACTCTCCATTGTACATTTTCAGTTCCTTTCAGGTGTCATAAATACTTCAGGTAAGAAGACTCATCATTGTCTCACTCTCCATTGTGTTTGTTCAAATCCTTTCATGTGTCGTAAATAAATCAGGTGATCTTATTCTTCAGTTTTTTTCAGGTGTCGTAATAGATCAGGTCAGAAGTCGCGTCCTTATCTTACTATCCATTGTACTTGTTCAACTCATTTCAGGTGTCATAAACACATCAGATGAGAAGACTCGTCATTGTCTTACTCTCCATTGTACTCGATCAATTCCTTTCAGGTACCGTAAATAAATCAGGTGAGAAGGCACATCACAGTCTTACTCTCCATTGTATATTTTCAGTTCCTTTCAGGTGTTGTAATAGATCAGGTGAAAAGTCGCATCATAGGCTTACTCTGCATTGTACTCGATCAATTCCTTTCAGGTGTCGTAAATAAACCAGGTGAAAAAGACGCATCATTGTCTTACTCGCCATTGTACTGGATCAATTCCTTTCAGGTGTAAATCTTCAATAGGCACTGCGACCAGAAATAATCACCTTTGTAATATTTTTTTCATAAATTGACACCTACGGAAATCAAAACAAATATGCTAATATGTGATTTCTCTAATGTAAAAACGTTGAACCACTGGTTCCAGTACGTTGACGGAAGTTAAGCAACGTCGAACCTAGTCTGGATGGGTTGTCGTTTGGGAATACCAGGTGCGGGAAGCTTGGATGTGCGGGTGGTGTAATTAATAACGGCTCGGCATTTCAAGTTGGTGAGCCGAATTCCAGTTACAGTCGGGCTCGTTAGATTCACTTACGCGCAAATAAACAGGGGAAAGATATGAATCCACATTTTCTCTCCCCAGCAATGGGTTAATTAGTAAAGTAATTTATATAAAAAAAAACTCGTACAATCTATAAATATTTTCTGTCTTTAAATAACCTTCAATGGGTTGATAAGCCATAGAAAAAAGATCAATGAAATCAATTAAAATGTAAAATGGTTGAACCACCGGTTCTCGTATGAACACTGATGTTAAGGAACGTCAAACCTGGATAGTACCGAGATGGGTGACTGCTTCGAAATAGCAGGTGCTGTAAGCTTGGATATGCATGTGATGTAACGGTAGGAATATAAAACCGCAAAGCTGAGTTCCAATTCCTGTCGGGTTCATTATATTCGCTTACGCGCATATAACCTTGGAAAAGTATTATCTTCAAATAAATAATTCTTCGAATCTAAAAATATTTTCCGGCATAAATAAACTGCAAATGGTTGTTAGCTCGGATATTCATAAGTCTATCACGCCAACCATCATGTCCTGTGTCAAGGTCGGAAGGTTATTAGAGTGGCATTACGTGTCATAACATAGCTGGTCGATCTAAATTGCTGCCGAGCGACTGACCCGTATTACTCCATGGCTACGTATTCAGAGCAGTAGATCTCTCGTGTGTTCTTGTTTTGCTCGACAGCAGTGTCCTGCAAAGCGCATTCCGCGTTCACCTAAGATTGTAAAAATATCCGGGATGGGTCCATAGAGATGTGATTTAGTTGGATATTGTCTCCAAGAGATGCTATGTATAGCTCTCAGCATCCGAGTGTAGTTTACATCAAACTTGGACTAGCGTTTTTGTTAATGTCCAATCAGTGGAAAAGGATGATAAGACGTAAAAATCAATCAGTTAAAATTGTAACAAATATTAAATCGTAATTTGTAATCTAGGGTACTTAATCGACATAACATATTAAAAATACACTTTTATACCAGTTTTCAAATACATAGTAAACTAGACCCTGAAAATTTAATAAAAAAAATTGATATTTGTAATCTTCAGTGTTAATCCATAGTAATATGAAAGAAAAAAATGATTGATTATTTCTAGTTGCAGTTCCTATTGTATTAGGTTGGTGCATAATTATCAGGCGTTTTTAAACAATATTTATTATTAAAAAAGAAACATAACAATTAAACAATAGCATTTTTAAATTATTATTCCGGACCGTATGATTATCGACACGTATTTTTATAACTTCAAAATAAAATAATATTTTTATTTTTTAAAAAAGTAAACAAAACAGCAATTTTTATTAACAAATAACTCACCTACAAAAACGCCTGATAATTATGCACCAACCCAACTCTTTTTCTGTCTGTGTCCCGCGCCTACAAGTTTTTTTTCTCTCAGTTTCTGCCAGGCTTTATGCTCATATATAGAATAAAAGATATTTGAAGGTAACTACATACAAAATAATATTTTCTATTATATAACAAAGCATGTATGCTATTTTACGAACAAACATAGCACAACGCATGCGCAAAGATAGACCTATGCTCAACAAACCACGCCACGTGTTGCCGTCAATATTATATTCTTTTCAACACATGTGCGCGCGTTTGTTTCTCCTCTCGAAGGCCTATTTGTAACATAATATCCAGCGTTAGGAGAAGCGTAAAGCTTCTAACTTTGTAAGTAAATACGTAGGTGTATAAAGCTTGCAAAATGTACGTTACTAGGCAGATCAGTTGTTAGGTAGATAGGTAGGTAGCCGAGATTGTCGATCCCGACTTTTGATAAATGAGGAACAGTGTGTCGAGAGATCGCAAATGGACAAAAAAAAAAATCCCCTTTGAATGTATATGCGGGTGTGAACATGAGATCATAAAAATATTCACACATATACGAGGCGTGGATTAAGTTAGAGGCGAAGATATGAAAAAGATGTTTTATAGACATTTTACCAGTTTCTACTGGACATAAAGTGGGGGATCTGTTTACTATTGTTATTAAGTAATAAACTGATCCCCATAGAATTACTCCACTATCTCAGATTTTATTATGCATGTCAAAGTTTTTACAATAACAACTGTTACTAGTTTCTACTGGACATAAAGTGGGGGATAGGTTTGCAATTGTTCTTTAGTAATAAACTAATCCCCTTAGAAGTACTCCACTATGTCAGACTTTATTATGCATGTCAAAGTTTTTTTTATAATAAAACAGTTATCAGTTTCTATTGGATATAAAGTGGGGGATCGATTTGCAATTGTTCTTAAGTAATAAACTGATCCTCATACAATTAATCCACTATGTCAGATTTTATTATGCATGTCAAAGTTTTCACAATAAAAACTTGTTACCAGTTTCTACTGGACATAAAGTGGGGGGATCGATTTGCAATTCTTCTTATGTAATAAACTGGTCCCCTTAGAGTTACTCCACTATATCAGAATTTATCATGTAAATATTTTTTTTCCAATAAGAACTGATGCATATTTCTAATGGACATAAAATGGGGGATTTGTTTGCTGTCGTTATTAAATAAATCATAGCTCCCCACAACTTCTTTTTTTGTTTTTTTTGTTATTTCTCCTAAACTCTTTTCTGCCATCTATTTATTCAAACTCACTGTTATGTGTTGTTTTCCTCTGTCCCACTTGCCTTCAATCTGTCCTGTGAGTATCATATTTTCTAAGCCCTCTTTCGTCATTATGTGTCCTAGAAATTTCAATTGTCTCTTTCTTATGTTAAGTATAAGTTTCATTTTTGATTCCATATCTCCAAGACCTCCATTTTGTATTTAAATTAAAGAAGACATTAGTTCCATTTAATTCTCAAGCGAATTTTGGCAAAATTCGCTTGAGCATGAAATGGAACTAATGGTTTTAATTTAATTACAAAATTATATTCGAATCTTTTAGCTTCCTTTTTTGAAACATAGTTAGAACTGTGTAGCGAAAAAACATATTTTAAATCAGTTAATTTATAATATTAATGCTATATAAATTTACATTGAGCACTGTTTTGTAAAAATAAAAATAAAAAATATCAATAAGAACACCGGATTATATAGCTTAGTGTTCTTTTTTCCTATATATATATATATATATATATATATATATATATATATATATATATATATATAATATTAGATAAATTGTATTGTATTGTAAATTTAGATAAATTGTATTTTTAAATAAAATCGTTTATTACCGCCATTGTTAACCGCCTAACGAGACGACATCTTTAGTCGTCGAAAGAAATATGCTTTTTTTGTCGCGGTAACTTGCATGTTCCAATGTAACAGTTTATAATTTATAAGGTAAGGTAAGGTTGGGTGGGGATATGGAAACATAGTAATTTCTGTGTCACAATGGATATTATGCTCTACTGTGTATCGAGCACTGTTTATAAAAATAAAACTGTGGATTATAAATCTGACTGTTCTTTCCTATTACTTGATATATATATATATATATATATATATATATATATATATATATATATATATATATATATATATATATGGAGTAATGGATAGCAACTCGGATTTAGGAATAGGAGAGCCAATTTCAAATTCCAGTCGAATCCATTACATTCACTTACGTGCTAATACCCTTGGAAAAGGTATGAATCCTCTTCTCCCTCCAGCTATGAACAGACTGGGTTCTATAGCCTTGGATGGAAACTGGTCTAGGAGAAGAACAACTCTGAATTCGAAACCTGCGGAGGATCGTTTGGGGACCTTGTGGCACATAGTTCACCAGGTCTCTGTATTCAGCCCTTCAAAAAATGGGGTTCGTTCTGCACAAAGCCTTCACCACTATAACCAAATCATATGTGCTACTGTCTCGGCTGTCGGTTCCTAGGTACTAAGCTGCTTGATCCTCATTATTTATTCAAAAATTATAACATAAATATGTTATAAAATCACTACAAAAATAGCAGTTTTCTTTCCTTTGGTGTCTTATCAAGTGATGATCATCACTTGAAAAAACACCAGAAGTGTTGAAACAAAATGGCTATTTTTGTAATGATTTTATAACATATTTATGTTATAATTTTCGAATAAATAATTATATCTGTTCTACTCTGTATTGACCACTCTTTTAAGAATAGTAATTGTTGGTTATTGGAATTTATTCCGTATACACCAATCATATACTTGTATATATATATATATATATATATATATATATATATATATATATATATATAGAGAGAGAGAGAGAGAGAGAGAGAGAGAGAGAGAGAGAGCAACAACGGGTGTCTAGCCACACTGATGAGCTGTGAAACAGCGAAACAGTCTCTATGGATGACGTTATATATATATATATATATATATATATATATATATATATATATATATATATATATATATATATATATATATATATATATATATATATATATATATATATATGTGTGTGTGTTATTTTATAGATACTACTATTTAAGGAAATATTATAAATTTTATTATTATTTATTATTATCTATATTCTTTATAATGAACAATATTTACCGGCCTGAATGTCCGAGAAATTTCATAGAATATATATCATGCGAAATTTCAATGCAGTAATTCAACTTTATTAACCAGGCGCTTTGTCTGTAGCTAAAATGTATAGCACATCAGGCTATATGACGGTTCCACGTAGGATACAGGTTCGATTCCAGTTGGAGGACACATATTTTCTATGAAATTTATCGGACATTCAGGCCAGTAAATGCTGTTAATTCTATTTACTATAAACATTGCATTTACTTAAATATTTGTATCTATAAAAATATCATATAAACAGAAAATATATTAATATATATATATTTAATCAAATTTATTTCCAATGAAACGTTTTCCATTTGTCAATTTTTTAAAAAAACTTTGTCGGGTTTTCTATATCTTCTAAAAGCATATACTGTCGATACGGAAAACAATGGATAGACTAAAAAACATAAATCTTTTAATTCAAACGCATTCTGAATGATACTATACAGATTTGCCTTGTATTCATTTCATAAGAGGCGATATGAATTCCTTGCTTGTCCATATTTCTGAGATGAGGTATTATGTACACTATTTATTTTATTCGGACTATTGTCCTCATCTTAGTCACCATATTTATTACAAAGTTTCGGTCGTTGTACGCTCCGGCCTTCTTCAGGTGGTTGGAATGTTGAACTAAACCCTTTATTTCGCTCAAAAACAAAAATTTGCAATATGAGCTCTGGTAAAAACATGTGGATAACAGCCAAAATTACAATATGAGCAACGGTAAAAAAATGAAAACAATAGTCCGAATAATGTAAATAGTGAATTTCTTG